CCCTTCCCTCTGTAGGCGCATTGTGCCTGTCTGAACGCTTAACAGCGCTTGCGGGGCCTTGCGTTTTGCCTTTTTTTTACAAAATCCTGGTAGTCCCGGTTCGTGGTTAGCTTGAGATTGGTTGTGGCCCCCGGAGCCTTCCCTACGCTTGCGCTTCTTCCCTGCCGTACATGGCTGCAGCTGGCTGTTCCTGCACACAGGTCACTGTGCTGGCCAGGTGTGAGCGTGATACCTTTATCCCTCTTTTTATTGCTCCCTTTTTTTTTTTTTTTCCCCCCTTTCCCCCCTGCAGCTTCAGTTCATCAGAAGTATATAGGATTACCAACACGGATGCTCCAACAAGTGCTGTTTCCCAGGTTGATGTCGTCTGTTTATCAGCTGCCTAATGATTACTGAGGGTATTAATGTGTACCATATCCTGGTCGGACCTCAGCAGAAACCCTTTTAGTACCTCTTTACGTCCATTTTGATAGTGAGGGCCATTGTTAACGGTTTTGTCTTCTCGATCTCTAACCAGTTTTTGCATCAATCCTACAGTACTTTCAACAAAACTAGTTTGCTCGTCAGCTTCCCAAGTGAAACATTATCAAAGATCTGCTGACTCCCACATACACAACGTCTGCGTTTTCTTTGTCTGCCAGACTGGCTAGCTTGAGATAGAAGGAAGTTATGTTGATGTGATGCTGTTCTTGACGGACCAATGTTAGGGGTTGTTGGTCGTCTCATGTTTTCGGCATATTAACTTTTTTTTTTTTTTTCCTGGGGATGGAAGTTAAGTTTACTTGTTTGTGAATCTTTGGCTGGTTTTTCTACTAAAGGAAGGCACAATTCTTGCCTTTTCTATTCGATTTCCGCAAGCTGGTGAAATGAACTGTTCGGTGCCTCTAAGGTTTGCACACTGTGTGGTGAAGTTAATCAAGCTAAGCAGTCTGAAAACATACCACTTCTGCAGGTGCTCTTAAACTTGTTCTTTGCCTACCAACAACTCATTTCAGGAAATAATTGGAATAACTATAGGATCATTTTTGGAAAAAGGTTTATACACAGAAAGACGGCAAATACCTAAAATTATCCCAGAATAATTTTACCTCACCATGAGTAGTAAGCCATTCCTTTCATTGATTTTCCTCTTTGTCAGTACCATATTTACAATGTAAGTTCTCCTTATTCTCAACACCTCTTCCTGTCTGTTTGTCCAGTGACTCATTTTCTCCCTAACACTTGTGCCATGTGGTTGTACCTCCTTTCTAATTTCTGGACATTTCCAGCCTGCGTTTCACTTACATGAATAGCTCAAGGTTTAGCTGCAGTGATCTGTTACTAGACTCAGTTACTATTAACATTTCTAATTTTTGGTGTGCTTATGTGCAGACATGGAAACCATAGTTTCTTCTCTAGAGCAGAGTATTGCGTTGCCACAGCTGATAGATGGCAAGACATAATAAATTAGCAAGCTGCATTCTCTGGCAGAAATCAGTTCAGCATCATTTTGTTTCCCGCTGAACAGCGATACATGTCTATGCAGCTGCAGCAACAGAAGTTGCTGAGAGTTTTACACGATGTAGCGCTCCTCTACCCATAGGCTGTAGAAATGCTAGACCGTTCCTAGTCCTTGCAGTACTGTTTTATTCCCACTGAGTGTCATCAGGTGCATTGCTAGAAAGTGAAAACTATTCAGACTATATCTTGTGTGTGATCATAGAAGGAGAGGGAGAAAAATAAAAATGGCAATGCCCACAATGAATCTATAGTGACATGAAAGAAAAATCATGATTTGGGCCAGAAGCATGTCGTGTCTGGTGGCAATGTCTGCACTGCAGCTACAGCTGTGCCTACAACTCATGTAAATATACCTAAGTTCTCTACAATGCCAGCGATGATACCACTACCAGTGCTATCGTGTAGCAGATTGGCAGTAGCTACCTGAATCTTTAGTCAGGTCTTCAAATACGTACTGCATCCCCTTTCAGGGGGTCTTCACCTCACCTGAAGCATCGCTTTCCAAAGCAGAGACAGCTCATGTGAAGGTAGATCTCCACAAGCCTCCTTCGCAGCAGTTAGGTGGGAAATGTGTGTTAACTGACACAGCTAAACTAGAAAGAAGTTCTGGTGGGTTTTCTACCTCCAGCACCAGCAGGAAATAAGAATAGCAGTTTCTGTAAGTTTGCTGATAACCAAGGAGAGATTCCTGAGATTTCTGTGCATTCAGGGTAGCGTCTTAGCATAGGACAGAGGAGCCCACCAAAGAGAAATCAGATCAAGGAACACAGTCAGTGTAATAAAAGTAGAGTAACAAGTAAGAAAACTTAAAATTGGTCATTGATTTTACAGCTCTCCTAGATATTTCAGGAATAATTTAAAGATAACAGAGGATAAGCACCTCTGAAATAATCCTGTTCATCCTTGGGCCAAATACGCTGATTTGGAGAGAACTGTGGCAGTGTGAGAGGATGGTGTTAGTGTGTAAGCTACATACACTTCTCTCTGTGTGTGTTACACAATTTTTGTGTTTTGCTGATTTGAGACTGGAGGAACAGATGCCCCTTTCTTCATTTCTTGGGAGTAGGCTAATGCACGCTATGCATATGAGAAATTTAATGATGGACTGGTTAGTATTCTGCTCTGTTACATGGACATAAAGCTCAACATAAAAACAAAGCGCAAGCCTGAACTGACCCTCTTGCCCAAGAAACGTTAGCACGACCTTAAAAAAAACCACTGTAGACACCTGCTGATTAGCTACCCAAATTCCACATGTGCCAGAGTACTTTTCAGCAGTCAGCAGGATTAGTTGTCCTTTCCAAGAGGACAGTGATAGATTAATACAAATGTTTTCTGTATTTGCTTCAGAAAACATTCCAGCTCTTCATGAAGTCACCACATTTTTCCTTCTGAAACAGCTGCGAAAGTCTAGGATGTTACATGCCTGACAGCTATTCCTGACGGCTGCCTTGCTGCGCATCATGACTGATCTTGTATAGAGAGTTGTTCTTGGTCCATTCTAGGCAAAACTGAAACCACCTACGTAACACCTGATGGGAGCAAAGAGAGAAGTAACAAAGAGAGTTGGTTTCAAAGTGCATGTCCACATCTTTAATCTCCACGTAACATGACATCAGTGGCCCATTACTCCCTCGGTCTTACAGAAGCTGTGGATGACATGAACTAGAGCTGCCATACCCGATTCATTTGTTGTGTCTGTCTCGTTTGCCAGTTATGCTAGTTCAGTGATTGAGAAGAAGGTCTGTGTGGAAGCATCGCCGGTGAAGTTGCTGCTAAATGTGGTATGTTTTATTTAGTGTTTTATTTCGAGATATTTGGGATCCTACAGACATTGACCTAGAATTCAAAAATGGTGCCTTAGGAAAAAAAAGGAGGACTTCTTTAGTCATCGGTATGCCTCAAAACTCATACATCTGTACTCCCCAATATTAGGAAATTAGAAATATTCCAATTTTATGGATTATTAGATTAAATTTATTTTCCTTTTTTAGAGGATCTCTCAAACTCAAGTCTATGCATCAGAATCAAGTCAGGTTAAAACAGTAATCTTTGCCATATTTGAAAATGGACATTCTCATTGTCTGCTCTCATCCTGCTGTGTTTGTGATTTGTAGTCATCTGCCACACTGCTACCTATCTTCCTCCAATCCATTTCCCACCCTGTTCCGCAGTTTCCTGCCTCATTCGTATTTCCCCATTTTCCAACATTCTCTTATCCCCTTCAAGCTGCTTACTCCGATCTTCTAGTGCATTTTCTTCTCTTTCCTCTCTCTCCAGCACCATATATTCATCAGCCTTGCCTATTTCTTTCAATATCACTCCTCAAAGTTATTACCACATTCCCAGTTTCCCTGATTTTCTTGCTTTCACCATGCCATCCTCAGCATTTAGCTGTGGCTTATTACACCTCTCAGTCTCCCGTCTCTCTCTGAGAATCTGCCTGTTCATCCCATCTTTGTCACCTTACTCGTGCATGCTTTCAGGGAACACTCATATACTCAGGCCTCACCTTTACCTCTGCATACCTTCCACTACTGTTACCTTCCTTCTCTTCCACAATCTTCACCCAGGAGGTCACCTTCTCCTATCTCCCTTCAGTTTTTCCTAGGAACTTGTTTGCTAAAGTGCTTTGAAAAAATCAGCTGAGAAAATAAATCACAGGAAGTTTGCACAGCCATTTATCTCCTAACACAACATTACTTTGGCTTGTTTTCCTTATGTGCTGGTTGATGCCAGTCT